ACTACAAAAATTATTATCTAATGACAAAAACGAAAATAAAATGATTAAGGGTTGGAAAATTGGGTTGCCTCCCAACAAGCGTTTTTTTATAGTCTTTAACTCGACTTTGGCAATTGACTCGTGAGCATCTAAAGAAAGTTTTGGATGCCTTGTCCATTTTTCTTCGCCGGCTTTGTTCTACTCTTCATTGGATCTCCAAAACTTTACATTGCCTATTTCCATATAATAGGACTTGCATATTTCATTCAATTCAAATTCAATTATGAAGATTTCTATTTCCTCATCGGTCTTAATCACAAAATCAATATCTTGGCAATCAATAAGTCGGAAGAATGTAAGTTTATTTTCTCTTCATTGATTGTCACATCCTCGTTTAGCTCCGCTGTGATTAAATTTTCACTCATTTTAGGGTCTTCTTCGATGGTTGAACTCTTATTGGGCTGAATGATTGGTCCGCAATCAAATTCTACGGGCAATGTCAAGTCTTTCATGTTACCTCTATCGAGTGGATTATATGTGATCAGTGATCTCCCATAGGAATGTTGTCTTCATCTAACTTGGGAAGCTCGTGATAATACCTTGTAAGTACATTCCCATTCAATAAGTGAGGACCATCTCTCACCAACTTGATGTTCTCATCCCAATTGCCCGGTACATAATCTCCTGCTAGCATTTAACTATCATCAAAATTATACAGTGCTTCTTTTTGACATTTCAAATAATTCCCAAACTAAAAAAGTTTCGACATTGATACTTCAGTGCACAAAAACAAGTATTGTCATGTATCATTGACAATTAATAGTTTTAATGAGATAGAGTATCGTTCCACAGAGAATAAAATGTTAATCAAGTTTATTAGTTTTGTATGGAATTCGAATAATGTAAAATAAATAAATTTTTTATTTTGATTGTATGCTAAATTACTTAAGAAGGTTGTAAAAAGTATTTTTGTATCAAATCATGGATGATTGTATTGAATTTATAGTCCACATATTGTTATTTATTTAAATTATTGATTTGCAATTTAGTCATATTCATATGTTCTTGACAATCAATAAAGCCATGATATATAATTTTCATTTCCAAAACAAATTAAATATATTTTAACCACGAATCAAATCTATTTCTAATCCGAATTCGAATGATTAGAATGCATTAAATTATAGATTATCTATATGATTATACATGTGATAAATGTTATTCCTAACATCTATTACATATATGTTAATTTTGTCACATTCTAAATTTATTGCGAGTCTCTCATAACTATAACAAGTAACTAATTATCTAACTGATGACCAAACAAATAAATAATGCAATTAGAATGCAAAAATAATCAAGAAAACAAAAATTACTAAACTACTAGTTTGAATTAAAATAAATAAATATTAGAGTTAATCTTCATCCTGTTGACCTATTGTTAATTTCTGCTTATTTAATACAAAATCGACGTGCGTGTATGAAAATTCATGTAAAGCCATAAATTCATAAAGTGATTCAAATCTTGAACCTCAATGGTCAAATATTTCATTTCTTCACTCATAAGAAGCACACCTCAAACTTATTTTATTAACTATTTTCACAAAGTGTAATATAAGGTCGAATTCTTATACTAATCCTTACACTCTCTAGTTTGGTTACATCTTACTACAACTAAACACATCAACAAATGATGATTCTTCTTATTTTTTATTACTTCGACTTTGAAGAATCAACTAAGCTAATAATTCCTTGTTAAAAGTCTAATTCTCTTAAATAAGTGTTTGATGCTTAATCAATGCATATAGTACATACTTTTTTTATTCTTTTATTTAATATTTATTTATTTATCTTATGTACAGACTCTTCTCCGTTAAGCTTACTATATGACCCTTGTAGTGAGTTTTTAATTGATGACTCCCAACTCAGATGACTGTAGGACATTAGATTTTATATACTCTTGCAGGTTTAATAATTCGAGTTATAAAAGATTATAGATAGATGTTTCACAGTGAGACATCTTTTTTCTTCTTTTCATGCAATAATTAGTGTAATGCCTCTTCATTCTCAAAAATTGACTTCTAATTCAAGATTTTCATCTTGTAAACCTTAGAAACTTTACATAAAATTTTACACACATGGAATCCACAGTCATCTTTATGTTTCACTACAACAATTCAATCATCCCCAAATAATCCTAAATTTGGTTTAATGATATATAATTTAGTGGTTGTTTGCATTTAGAATCTGAGGTCCACTAATTTATTTTTTCAACCTATTTAAAATTTTGAATCAAATCAATCATTCACGATGCAAAATATAAATTTTGTGCGCAAAAATATCAAACTTTACATCAACAAGTCTAAATCAACTTTAACATGTAACTTTTTCACAATATATAAGCTAACACGTGGTTCCAAATATATGTATAATAGTTGGCAAATTTATCTAACTCACACAAGTACACAAAAATAAAAATAAAGATGAAAATAAATTATTATTATTATTATTATTATTATTATTATTATTATTATTCTTAATTTTTGGATTTTTTTGTATGCGAACTAGCACACGGAACAATAAAAAAAAATTGACATTTTCTACATCAAACTTATAACAGACACTGTCCTCAATGTCTAAAAATAAAACAAATAATATATAAAAATTAAGGGCAAAGAAGAGAACTAAGTACTCCCCTAATGTAAATCTGCAGGTGGTAAATGAATTGACATAAAAGTGCTGGATCACTTGCTATGTATTTTCATTGTTCAATGTGTTTAGGTGTCATGTTTTTTCAATATTAAAAAAATCAATCATAACATGGAATATTTTAAAATAAGCTCTAACACATCCCAAATGGAAATATGTGGATGAAGATACCATATACTATTAAAAGAAATAAAAATGTACTAAACTACTAAACGCAATGATATTTACTAATCCCATATTCTAGAAAGCAAATTAAATGAAAGGGAAAAAATTGGATTGGCTCCCAATAAGTGCTTGTTTATAATTATTAGCTTGACTTAAGCGATTTGCATCACGGAATTCTAAAGAAAGTTTTGATGCATCGCTTAGTTTGCTTCTTTTGACTTTGATTCACTTTTCGTTGATTTCATAAATCTTTACCTTTCATCTTTCAATGTGATATGACTTGCATATTGCATCCGATTCGAAATCAATCCTATAGATTTCTATATCTTCTTCGAGCTTAATCACAAATTCAATTGTTGGATAATTGGTAAAGTCGAAAGAATGCGTGTTAATTTCATCTTCATTTATTACCACTTTTTCATTTGGTTTCTTTGTAGTTAATTTGTCATCATCTTCATACTCTTCTTCTATAATTCTTTCGTTTCTACCTTTTGAGTGGATTATATTCTCACATTTGAAATTCACTCCAGTATATGGAATTTCCCACATGCATTTCACTTTCATTCAACATAGTAAGTTCATTATAATATTTTGCAAGTACCTCATTGTTCAACATGGAAGGACCAACTCCTACAAGCATGTCCGTAGATACATACTCACCCATAGGCACGTATAAGTTTGAACATTAGGGGGCCAGATACAAGCAGCACCCGGTAGAATGCAACCTATGACAAAATTAACAATATATATCTTTTACAAGCATATCATCCTCTTCCATATTGAGATTATTTATTGCAAAAAATTTACTCTTATTGCCAGGATCAGAATTTTGCATTGAATAGTGCCTGAAAGAAAAGCAAGCACAAGAGAGTCAGGGTGGGTAGTTAAAATTAACGTTGAGACTTTTGCCACCCATAGTTTTTTTTTTTGATATGTTTGCCACCCATAGTTATGTATTATTGTTCAGAAATATTTTTTCAAAGTTGAGACTTTTTAGATGGTATTGAATTGATATTGATAGAAATAGACAGTGTACCAAGACCAATCTACGCAGACTCATTTAGGTCTCCCTTTTCTCACATTTGAAAAGTAAATCGTAAATTATAGGCTATATTATAAACACAATTTTTTATTCAAATATTTATTCTAATTATAAGAGTGAATTTTATTTCGATCGTAAACATACATTAGAGTCCGTTTGATTGATAAATGTGAAAAAACTTTTCAATTCCATATAAGTTGAAAAATAAAAACCCAAGTACCTTAATGCATTTTCCATGAAATTGGCAAAAAAAAAAAAAGTTTAAAGTGGCTGTACATTGGAATTTAAACTTCATTTTCACTTTCGTATCAAATAGTCAAAGTAGAAATTGAATTCCTCGAATATGACATTTTTCATGGGATTTAAATCAATCAAACGGACCATTAATTCAGACAGTTTCATAGTCCATGTTTTGTGTGAATTAAAATCAAAATTTTAAATCTTGTTTGTTGATTACATTTCTTTATGTTATTTGTACCAGTAACCAGTTTATGGATGAGTGCTCTTGGAATAGTCGGTCTGGCCCTGAACCTATGCTCCGATGACTTCGTTTCTTAGAAAATTCGTGCAGCTGAAGTATTTGAATTTTACACTTTCTACACCAAAAATATTCTATTAAACGAAGGTATTCGTGCTTGGATGACAGCTTTCCTATTTTTTTAATAAAATAATTTTACTTGCAATTCAAAATTTTTAATTACACATTCTCTATTAATCTATTATTTCAAAATGCATTCTATATAAAAAAAAAAATGGAGCTCAAATATGTTCTTCATAGATTTTGATAAAAGTTGACGACACAAATGATTAAAAAGTTGTGGACTCTACGATATGTATGATTAAAATTAATTATTGACTTTATTTAAAATAAAAACTAAAACAAATTTTAATCGAAACCAAATAGTATGATATAAATCTATAACTAGAGTTGATATTCGAATAAAACCGGAATCAAATGAAACCGAAATTTGGTCGGATTTTAATTGGGTTCGAGTTGTTCGGAATATAGTCCATACAACTGTCCATTTCTTCGCCCTATCGAATCATTGCAGCTTTCCTTTCTCCATCTCAAAAACCCTACAGAATCCCACATCTCTCTCTAAAGATGGCTTCTGAAGAACCATACCAAAACCCAACAAATCCTGAAGATCAATCTCAAAATGAAGAAGGCAGTGATAAGAAATTGTCCAAAAAAGAGGCCGCGAAACTCGAACGAATGCGCAAACGCCAAGAAGCTGCGGCAGCTGCCGCAGCCACCAATATCTCTTCTATGGCAATTGACTCCGAGGATCCATTGGCCGAAAATTACGGGGAAACCCCTCTAGATGATTTGAAGTCGAAGGAAATTTCTGGCCGAAAGTGGACGGAAGTGAAGGCGTTGAATGAAGATTTGAAGGACCAGGTTGTTCTGATCCGGGGCCGGGTACAGGCGATTCGAGCCGTAGGGAAAAAGATGGCATTTGTTGTTGTGAGGGAACTGGGGTTTACGGTGCAGTGCATTTTGACCGTGACGCCTGATGTTGTGAGTGCCCAGATGGTGAAATTTGCCACCAGTTTGAGCCGGGAATCAATTGTTGATATCGAAGGAGTTATCTCTGTGCCTGCTACTGCCATCAAAGGCGCCACTCAACAGGTGCGTGTATTTTTGTGTTTGTATCTTTTCACCTAATTGAAATTGATATTTCGCAAATTCCAACTGCTGGAACTCTTTAGTGTGTTTTTGGTCTTTTTATGCTTTTGGTTAAATTTGCCAAAGTATGTTGAAAGGATAACTTTTTAACTCTATGCACTACACTGACGAGAAATAAGATATGAATGGCTGTTTGTGTCTGTCATGTTGGCTTCATATTTAGTTCGAATAATTCTAATATGGTGCCAACTTAACCATAGTTTGATTTCTCTATGCAAGGCGTAACAGGGTTTAATAGTGAATTTCTTTGTTTCTTGATTAATGATAAACACGAGTACTGGGAATTCATCAGAAAGATGTATAATCTGGATTTTGAAATTCTCTCTAATAAACTGGAAGAGTATAAACCAATTTGCAATGTGTCAAATAATAATGAACTTGGATAAAATGTCAAACAGAGATTGGTGTCAATTCAGTAGTGTATAAAATAATTTAATCTGTAGAAGGGTTTTCGTCTTTCAACTGAAATTCATGGGACTCTGAAGGATGGTTGACTTGAGAGTTATCAAATAATTATTCTCCTGTAAATAAGAAGTTGTACGCTGGACAAAGCAATACTTGCAAAAAATAAAAAGTGGCTACTAGGTGCATGAGAAGCTTGAATGAAGCAGAATATAACAGGTGCTTTTGAATTATATATGTATTTTGGATGAATAATGGATTGGTTTGCTGTAGGTGGAGGTGCAAGTGAGAAAAGTTTATTGTGTCAACAAGGCCATTCCTACACTACCCATTAATATTGAGGACGCTGCTAGAAGTGAAGAGGAAATAGAAAAGGCTTTGAAGGTATGCTTTCTTCTAATGTACACGTTTTTACATGTTTATCCAGGCACATGAAGGAATATATTCCCTTCTATAATACATATTTTTCAATGCTTCTAAAAGTAGTTATTTCCACCTAGTGGATATAAATAATTAGTTGTGTTCCTGTAGTACTTGGCCTACCAGAAATTGATGGATAACTCCTTATATATTTAAACTGATTTATTTTATAAGTGCAGGCTGGAGAGCAACTTGTTCGTGTAAATCAGGATACACGATTGAATTTCAGGGTCCTTGACATTCGCACGCCTGCTAATCAAGGAATTTTTCGCATTCAATGTCAAGTTGAAAATGTATGTAGGCTTTGTATTTTTTCATTTCTTTTCCCTTTGCACCCTCATTGGGGTCTTCTTGACTAGGTCATATCCTCTTCTGAATTTTTTTGTCTGTTGAACTTCCTACTCTTGATCCTACTGCAGTAGATTATAAAATTTCCAGCAATATAATGCACTCTTTTTTGTTCAATGTAGTTCAGTTCTGAAAATATATTATCATTTTTACCCAATGTTGCTAACGCTGGCAAGGATGGCATAATAAGTTTTGCCTCTTTTTGTTGACATGTATCAGCTTTTGTTTTTCACGATATTTTTGGAAAGAAATTAGATGCTTGCATATTTTGTTTGAAATTGCTATCTGCTGTTTCAAAAGTTCGACCTTTTTGTGCTCGTTCTCTTTCACTTTTTCCTTCAATTTTTAATTGACATTTAATAGGAAGCTTATCGAATCATTGCAAAATCATGCCTTCCGAGTCTTAATTCTGTTTCATGTTTATTCAGATATTTAGGAAGTTTTTGCTGTCTGAAGGCTTTATTGGTATCCACACACCAAAATTGATAGCAGGCTCTAGTGAAGGTGGTTCAGCTGTTTTTAAACTCGATTACAAAGGGCAACCTGCATGTCTGGCACAGTCACCTCAGCTTCACAAACAAATGGCAATCTGTGGTGATTTTGGTCGTGTTTTTGAGATTGGTCCTGTCTTTAGGGCAGAGGATTCTTTTACACACAGGCATTTGTGTGAATTCACTGGTCTTGATGTTGAAATGGAGATCAAGGAGCACTACTCAGAGGTGTGCATAATTGGTATAGAAGTTTTGAGTGCTTGGAATACGACTTTCTTTGTAACTTCCTGATCCTACTCATGCAGGTAATGGATATTGTTGACCGCTTATTTGTTACGATGTTTGACAGTTTGAATGATACTTGTCAAAAAGAGCTCGAAGCCATCAATGAACAATACCATTTTAAGCCATTGAAGGTCATTACTACTCCTTTTACATGATTTGTAGTGTTGATTTTTCTGAAAGAAGTTATTCAGTGGGTCCCCATACAGATACTAGTTAAGTAATAAAGTAACTACTTCAAAATTTTGGCTTTGATACTAAATTACTAATTCCTGCTTTTGGTTGAGTTTGCAGTACCTGCGAAAGACCTTGCGGCTTACCTTTGAAGAAGGGATTCAAATGCTGAGGGTAAGAGGAGGAATTTTTTTTTTTTCTCTCTGTAAAGATCGATTTCTGCTGAAATAGTCTTGTCCAGATGCAGTGACTTAGACAAAGTGCCAAGTATTTGGTTCAGTGCACAAGTATGCACATTATGGTATTCATGTATTTATATGTACCTTTAAAAGTCATGTCCTTTTATATGTGCCCATGAATTGTTGACAAATGGAGCATTCACATAAAAATGGGGGATTGTTTTTCAGTATACGATAAGAAGTCAGGAACACTAATTTATTCCTACCTGTGTTCATATTCCTGTTGTTATTAATGCCTTCTGCTCTTGCTTGTGGATTTATCCATCTACAAACTGATGATTTTTTTTTCTTTTCATTTTTTTCCTGGCCCATTTTCTGCTCACTGATGTTTAATAAATGCATTCTCTTTCCTGGACAGTGTCCCGCAATGTGAATAATATGCTATGCTACCATGTGAATTGATAGGTCCATCTTATATTTTAGTTGCACATTTTTGAGAAAAAAATCACTGTTTTTATTATGTTTATGACCTCTGTTTGTATAGGAAGCTGGTGTTGAAATTGACCCTCTTGGAGATCTTAACACAGAATCGGAGAGAAAACTAGGCCAGCTTGTTCTTGAGAAGTATGTTGATTTCGTCAATATTTTCTTTACATTCCCTTCTTTTGCATATTTGGTTCACGCCTACGCTAATGATGAAAAGGCTATGTCTGACAGGATTTTAATTTCACTTTTATGGTCATAGGTATGACACGGAGTTCTACATTCTTCACCGCTATCCTTTGGCTGTTAGGCCATTCTATACCATGCCTTGTTATGATAATCCACTTTATAGTAACTCATTTGATGTTTTTATTCGAGGTAAGCATCAATGTCCTTCTATGTAAAATGAGACAAATGCTAACATCTAAATAAATTGAGATGACATAGTTCTCATGACTCAACAAATTTGTCAAGTTTGAGATCTAATACAACATCTTTCTTATTTGTTAGGCGAGGAAATCATCTCAGGAGCACAGCGTGTCCATGTGCCCGATTACTTGGCAGAACGTGCACAAGCATGTGGAATTGATGTCAAGACAATATCGACATATATCGATTCCTTTAGGTACTCTCTCCACTTGCTTGTTCTGGCTTTTAAGACATCTATTGATGGACTGGTCCTGTTTCTTTTTGAGTTCAAATTAAGACATCCTCATTAGTTTCCTCTGGGCTTACATTCTTTCACTGAGTGCTAAGAGATAAGAGATGAATCTTCTATACTGAAGTTTGAACTATGAAAGGTTATTAATTGATTTTAGAATGTGATGAGCATTTGAATTATGGACTTATTATCTTCAAAGTAAAATTAACTGATGTGCGCATATGGCTAAAAAAAACAGAATTAGAATCCATAAATCTGGCGACCTTCTTTTGAGCTGTGACTAGAAAAAGATCAGTTGTTTGGAATTGGAAGTTAGCACATAAAAATTGTTTCTTCATATCATGTTTACTCCTTGATAATGTATCATTAGCACTATTCGTATGTTTAATGTATCATTCCTATAAAATTATAGCTAGTCACGTCTCTTCCTTTAGCTTACTAGTAACGCTGTGAAATCTGGTTTTGTGGTTGGCTTGCTGAAGGTACGGCGCACCACCTCATGGTGGGTTTGGAGTGGGATTGGAGCGTGTGGTGATGTTATTCTGTGCACTCAACAACATCCGCAAATCTTCACTTTTCCCACGTGATCCACAAAGGCTTGCCCCATGATCATTGTCGTAGGTTTATTGGTATTTTTCACGCGAAAACAGATAAAATTACTTGGAAGCAGAAGAAGATTATAAAATGCATCGCACTTTTTTCCTTACTTCTGCACTGCCCACTCCATCTGTATGGGGATGGCTAACATGCATCGTGTCTTTCTTCATTTGGTTCAGTATGTTGTGTACTTGTAAGCAGACGAAGGTTATAAATGCTTCTTTTGTCTTATCACTGCAGCAAAGTTCAATTTTAGAGCAAATTACACACGAGGTATACACTGACATTTTATCACATTGAAACTATTATTGAATGATGCATCCTCGTTTCTCTCTCTTTTTTGCTAGCGACCTCTACAGATGCAGAAGGCGAGACACCTTTTCCTTCTGGCACAGAAGAAGAAACCTACGTGTCCATGACCATTGTATAACAAACTGTTACATCTGCCCCGTCCATAATTTAGAAATATTAGCGCTATATGAAAGGGTCTCTCTATATACATAAAAAAAAAAAAAAGGAAATTAATAAATATGACGAGAAGAAAATTAAAAACACCAAGATAATAGGGAGACAACCGAGGATAACTCTATCACGAAATAAGAGTATATTAATATTAAGAACATGGCAAGATTCTGTAGTTGGCATCTGTGAAACCACAAACTTTTCTTTTGATGCCAATTCAATGCAAAATAAAATAAAAGTTCTTTTGATGCCAATATATGCGACTAGCTTAATTCGAATATAGTCTTGGGTTGGCCACTAGTTGGCAATTTGGGGTGTGCATTTCTGCAAGGGGTTATGCTACATGTATATCCAATTTTTTACAATTTTTTACCTACATTCATAATAGGGTGTGAGAACCATACATTTGAGAGTTTTTTATTCACGTGGGCCCCGAGTGCATGTGAGAGGGTGACACATTTTCGATAACCCCATTCGGTATAAATAGAATTGCCCTTCTGCTAGTGGTTTAGGTCCCACCGTATTGCAATGCAAGTATTTGGGCTTGGGTCCTAGCGATTATTCGCTAAAACGACCAATATTCGATATGCTTTGTAGTTCTACAATATAAATGTTTCCTAAAACCTCGAGAATTAAAAAGAACAGAATCTGGCCGATTCTACAAAAAATAGGAATACACGGGGGCAAATGGACCTCTTTTTGTTTGCTTTACCACTTCATATACTCATGAATTAACCACCATGTGGTGTTCCTTATAAAAAATTCTACTTTTACATACATACATCATATAGATTAGGTACATTCTCTCAATTATAGTCAACAGACTCAACACTATAGATTAGGTAAAGTGGATCGAGAATTTGTCGTTCAATTTTCAATAAAGATACAGTATTTTGAAGAAATGAAACTAAATAAACACCATAGCTTAAATGAATTGAGATCCTAGTGGGACAAGTAATATAGCTTGGGAATTGTATGTGAACATTTCCCAATCTGATGTGAGACTAGAGACACATCATCATAGCCAATATAGCAAGGCCATAAAAAAAATATAAAGAGAACAATAGTAGTGGGACGTAATTGAAAATCGACATTTTTGTTAAATTGGATTATGAAATAAGAATTATCGAATGAGATGACTTAACATGACAAATATGGACATAGTGCAGTTTTAGATTCGAGATTGAACCAAACGCGGACGATGGATCGAATTGAAGAAATTCAAAGTCACTTCATTTAACGTACTTCATTTTTTGAAATGTCTNTTTTATGATACAACGTGACTTTTTGACTTTATTGAATATAAAAAAACTAGTAAAATAATTACTTAATTTAGCCTCTCTACTTCATCCCTAAATCTCACGCTGGTATTCCTTATCTTCAAGAAATTTTTAATTGAAATTCTCGATCAATTACGAAAGCTCCAATTTAATAATCAAAAATTGCTAACAAAACCTAATTCCTAATACAATATGAAAATAACTGAGAAAACTATTCGTCGTTCCATCTCCATCATTAAGAATCACAAAAACCTTCGACAACATTAAAGATTGTACATTGTAATTATGAAAACTGAATGTCAAAAAATGAATTTACAAAATGCAATGTTTCCATTTTTACTTGTCGATAAAAAGACTTCTAAGGTCACCTCATTTTTAATTTTTATTAATTTTTTTTCTACATTTGATGTTACAACCTTATGAGTTAAATCTTACGTACTTGATTTCTCATCAATTCTTCATTGGATAAGATCACATTCAAGGTATTACAACACTGGATTTTTCAATTTTTTAAATATTCGAGAGCATGTTAACCCTCAGTAAAGAATGCACTAATGCGAATGTACGTTCACTTTTGTGATCATGTAATAAAAAGCATAACTTTTTCCATTCGAGACTATTTACGGAGAATGTGAAAGAAGAAATAAGTCATAAATAAATATAATGAACGATGAATGATAAAATAAAACTATACGGAGTGACACTCATTTCAAGAATTAATTTAATGATATCGATTTTGCCCCCAAATTGAAATCGAAATTTTTGTTTCATTTTCTATCATTGATTTGAAATTTTTAATGCCATCGAAGTTACGTTATAAACAATATTATAGTGTATTTCTTGAATTAAGTTCATTGCAATACATCACCTGAGAAATTTTATAGTAATAGAAGGCCCAATAGCAGAATTTCTAAACTCTCTCCTAAAGTCCCTTTTTGACAACCATTATTTTCATTTTTTTTACATGCTAATTTTCAACCACACGTTCACATTATAAAATATTATGCACGTAAATTCAAAATATTTCCATATTCTTTAATCACACATTTTTCTAAAAATTATTATTCAAACTCTATTTATTTCCAAATAATAATTGTCAGACGGGCAAAATAAGTTATGGGCAATTATTTACGAGGATATTAGGCCCCTGTTGATTTTCGTAAAATAGAGTTTTGGATATTGATTTTTTATTAAAAAAAATATGTGATTTAAAAATAGGAAAAAATTGAATTTACATGCAAAATATTTTATTGTGTGAACATTAGTTTGACCCCCACTACTTCACATTATAATAAGAGGAATATTTGGTTAAAAAAGAAGGATTTTTTAAAATTCATCTGTAATATTATTTTATTGAAAAATGTGATTGATAAAAAGAAAGAAAAGAATGAATTAAAATTTAACGAGAGTAACTAGGCCAAATGTGACATATGATTGAAAATGAACGTATACAAGAAAAAGCGTTAAAATAATGGTTTTCAAACGGCTAAATAAAAAAGTTTTAAAGTAAACGTATTATAAATGAGCAGCGAATGAAGTCCGCTTAACCTAATTAGCTGCCTCCACCACAGTACCTCAACAAGCTAGCCGCCGTCTGCCCTTCCTACAGCCCCCAACTTTAAAACTCCAGAAAATGTACACCTCAAACAACAAGAAACCTGTTAAAAATGGCAGTGCGGACAGTGAGATATGAAGAATGCCCTTTTGGTATGAGAGGAATAGGAAATAAAAAGATCCGGTCATACCGAAATCATGCGAGTAAGTATCTTGATTGCTTTTCTTGTTTCTTTTGTTTTCCATATATGATTTCAATCATGCATTTATACATCTGGTTGAATAAATTATTGTTTTAGACGTTCAATTTTTATCTTAACTTGGGTTTGGTTAGGTGTAAAATCTGTTGTTTATTTGTTGCTGATTTCTTGGTTTATCATAATTAAGTTTTACAGTAATAATGTTAGATCTGTCTGCAGCAATGCAAACCGCGACTATACATAGATTTTTTATTTTTTGGGAGAATGAGTTCAAATGCCCAATCCTCACAAACATTTTGTCCAAATACCCTTTGACTGAAATGAATAAAAGAAAAGTTATCTTGATTGCTTTTCTTGTTTCTTTTGTTTTCCATATATGATTTCAATCATGCATTTATACATCTGGTTGAATAAATTATTGTTTTAGACGTTCAATTTTTATCTTAACTTGGGTTTGGTTAGGTGTAACATCTGTTGTTTATTTGTTGCTGATTTCTTGGTTTATCATAATTAAGTTTTACAGACATAATGTTAGATCTGTCTGCAGCAATGCAAACCGCGAATATACATAGATTTTTTATTTTTTTGGGGGAAAATTAGGTTGTGTATCCTATAAACTAGTGAGTAAAACGCGCGTTGCACGTTAGTGATAGTTGTTAGTGATAGTTATTCATAAAATAGAAATGATTTTTATCTGAAATTGATGTTGGTTGATGTTTTTGGAATTATTAAAAACATCATCATTTTAACTTCATCCTTTCTAGAAAACATAATAAAATTTACCACAGTAACAATATTGAAAAGATTAGCTTATACCATGTTGTTAGAGTCACCAGGATGAATCCAATAATATAGAAATTGACCACAAAATCATATTTTCTGTAAATTGACAGGATGTCATGAAATGTAAAAAAATAATCTCACCTCATATTGGCAATTGATGGAGTACTACAACTGATGGAGTACTGCAACTGCTGAAAAATTACATAGTAAATTGGACTTTTTTTCCATTTGAATATTCATGTTAGGACGAAGGTTGACGTAGAAAGTATTCGTTGCTAGTAATGTCTAATACCATCTTTCGTCTGTATATAGTCATTTTGTCGGGAGAAACTGATTCAATAGGATATCCAAAATCGAAGCATTGTACGTATTTCAGCAAAAAAAAACTCCACATTTTGTCCTATGGAAGAAAAGAAATTTTTTCGTTAGAATAAATTAGTTATAGAGATAAATATGAAATTAAAGTGAGATAAAAAAGAAGTATTTACCCATTATTTCTACAAGGCAGGTAGGGTATAATCTCTACTTGCAGCAGTTTGTTTCGATATTTCTTTATAATTGGACTGACGGCAACTCCTGACAACAATAATAATTGGACCATATTTAATATTGCTTTTGCATGATCCATGACTTCTTGTGTGGTGTGAACACTATGGCTATAATCATATATCTGAAATTTCCATTTCCGAAAGTCCACACGGTAAATATACCAGTTGTTATCTGGATAGCAACA